CAGTGAAAATGTGTTAAAGTTGCAGAGAGAGATCCATATCCGATTCTGATTCACCTACACAGAAGTGGCAGGTGTTAACTTCCTAACCAAGGCAGTAACCCAGAGGCAGGTTTTGTTTCTAATCTGCCAGTGAGGACCCACAGGCTCGGAAGAAAGCCATCTGACTGCATCAGCGCTCTTGCCACCTCCCTAAGATTATTTGATTTCTTCTTGTCATGATCAATTTACTAAGCCCAGGCTGGATTTTTTTATTTAGATGATATTGTTGGTTTGTCATCCGCTGCAGATCTATGCAGGAGGTGCCCCGGGGGATGGCACTCACTTCAGAACAATGTTGGACTCAAATTGGAAAAATGCCTCTTTGGCGGGAACAAATTATTGTTTGAATTGCTTCGAGCAGAGCTGGTGTTGCCAGATGGGCTCCGGCCTGACCTTGTCCAAACCAAGTGGCTGCCTAAGTACCTTAGTCCCACCGAACACCGCTGGGAGGACAGCGCAGCTATTTATGCGCTAAGTAGGAACGTGGAGCCATGCACTTATCACCAAGCAATCAATTTCACTACAAGCCAGGGTTCTCCTTTCCGCAGCCCAACACCCCAACAGTGACTCAATCACCGGCAACCCATGGGTTTCCCCTCAGGACTGGGTTCCCATCACAGGGCCCCACCATGCTTGTGGCGAGACGGTGCCTCAGGGTCCCCATCTGTAAAAGGATGATAATAACCATTGCCTCACGTGTCCTCACGTGAGGCAAAGACCTTGGCATATGGCAAGTCATTGACCAATGTTAGCTGCCTCCCTGGCATCCTCCAGACGTCTTTGCGAGACCTGCTTCCCATGGAGTAATGAGACTTAAAATGTTCTGTTTTTAACCTTTTCTCTCTGGTTCCTGTGTTCTTCTGGTTTCCAGTCATCAAAGTGCTGGCTGTCTGTTCTCTCCCCCGAGAGATTTTTTCTTCTGCACATTGAGTACGGGTTGTTTCTAAAAATTTCTGTAGGTCAGGGTTATGTACGCCCACTGTGTAGGGCCACCAACAGCCTGGATCCTGGCTCAATGGTCCCCGTGAACAGGTGGAGAGAAACCTCTGCTGCTGATATGTGCGAGGCCTCAGAGGATTCAGAAGGTAAGAGCCTGTGGTGGATTAAATAGTAACCACCTCCCCAAGGCCCCCCAACGCCAGGAAAGGTATGCCCAGGTCCTCTCCCCTGAAACCTGCGCAGGTGACCTCATTTGGAAATAGGTCTTTGCAGATGTGATGACGGATCTTGAGATGAGGTCATCCTGGACAATCCGAGTGTCCTCTTAAGAGACAGGGAGAAAAGACGCCATATGATGACAGTCAGGGACTGGAGTGATGTGGCCACAAGCCAAGGAATCCAGAGCTACCAGGAGCTGGAAGAGGCAGGAAGGACCCTCCTCCCCCAGAAGCTCTGGCAAAAGTACACTTGCTGATACCTTGGTTCCCGGCTTCTGCCTTGCAGACTGCAAGAGGATAGATCCCTGTTGTTTTGAGCCACTGCACTTGTGGCAGGTGTTTCAGACACCACAGGGAACTAACAGAGGCCTCCAGGAGCTTCCAATGCAAATCTCCTTAGTTTGATACTTATCCCTGAGAAAAGGAATGCATAACCCTAGGACCACTCATGTAATCCATGCCCTAGGGCCGTGGTCGGCAAACTACGGCTCGAGAGCCACATGCGGCTTTTTGGCCCCTTGAGCGTGGCTCTTCTACAAAATACCACGTGCGGGCTCACGTACAGTGCGATTGAAACTTCGTGGCCCATGTGCAGAAGTCGGTTTTCAGCCTGGGCAAGTCTATTTTGGAGAAGTACTGATTATATTTGGCCCTGTTGACTAATGAGTTTGCCGACCACTGCCCTAGGGAGAAGGAAAACACTTTAACAAGAGACCCCAGGGCAGTCTTGGGTTGGGCTCTGGGGCCCTGTGTTTGCAGAAGACAGACCCGGGAACTGGTGAATGACTTCAGGGGTCAGTCCTGGTGGGGCAATGGTGCTTGCATCTGAGTGGGAGTTGAGTAAGGATCCTGCATCTTGGACACAGCACTGTTCTCCTGGCCTGGGAGGCTCAGAAAGTCCCCCGAGTGATTCATAGGAAACACTTGCAGCTTAAGTCTCTGGGGGCCTTGGGAGACAAAGCCGAGGGTTCACCTGACAAGGCTGATCAGGCTTATGATCAACTGCCCTTCTGCTGGGGGAGAAACCCGAGCATTTCCCTCTTCCCTTTCAAAGGGAAATAAATGCTATGGCAAGATGGGTTCTAACATTACAACAAAGTACATTTCGACATCACACTCCAAAACGAATGCAGGAGCACATTTCACACTTGGAATCAAAGTTATGGAAAGAGGAAAACTAATTTTGCCTCCACCCTTCTAGGTTCTTGGCTGAAGGCCCCTCCCATAATAAAAGACAGGTTAACAGGAAAACAACAAACAGAACTTTACTGACATGTATACCTCCTGCAGGCAAGGAGAGACCCAGGAAAACTCAGTAACTCCCCACAGGGAATGGCCAGAGCCACCACCTTAATTACCATCCCCAGCTAAAGACAAAAGATGTTGGGGGGCAGGGAGGTCTGGGAGATTATCTGTAAAAGCAGAATAATCAAGGGCATGGCTGTTGTGCAGATTTAAGTCATTATCTCCATTGGTGAAAGTTTCTGGACATGTATCATCCTTCTTTCCCTGGGACAGAGGGAGACACCCTTACAA